CTCTCCTTTTTTTGTGGAGGAGCTCTTGTATCTGCCATTGCTTTGGATGCTGGTGCAAAAAATACTCTGAGGTAAGAGTTGGCGGGATCTGTGTTCCAGCACCAATTCTTCAACTTCCCAGTAGAAATTCTTTAGATGGGAAAGACCCTGAGATGGAGGGGCCAGGGATCTGAGGTAACTGCTAGAGTCACTGCCTTACCTTTCTCAGAGACCCCCAGACATGTGCTTTACTAATGTCCTGGGCATCTGTCAAGCTAATACATTTGACAATAAGTTTACCCATCATATGACTCCAGGGTGAAAACATTACTGTGGGAAATTTAATATATTGAAAGAGAAAAGTTTCAGTCTGTGAGGAGGGAACAGCATATTATAAAGAATTTACTGTGTTAAGCTCTTAGCTGTTCCTGCCTCATGAGAGAAAGGATGAGGGGGTCTATACATTGAAACTATGATTCTGATTCTCCTGCTAAGATTGGCCTTCATAATTCTGGTTTTCTGCATGTGACACTGACTCTGGAAGTTCAGTGGCACAGTTGTGATCCTATATTCAGAGACAACAAAAAAGAAAGAGCCTTTGAGTACAGTAAGGAGACACAAGTAGTTCTGCAAAGCTAGAAGCAAATCCTGCATCAATGCAAAGATCCAACAGGCTGGCTCAAGTCAGTGTCCAGGGAGGAAGCCTGGGCCAAGAAGGATTTTGTTTAGAGTCTGTCATTTGGGCTGCATTCAAGTAGCTATTGTATTGCTTTTCTTCTCCCTCTTGGCTCAGCTTTGCATCATGAAGAAGAATTTCTATTGTATAAACTGTCCAGTCAGGCACACTTGCCAGAAAATGGAATCCTTTGTCAAGCACCCAAGTCAAAAGCTCCCAGTATGTTGCAGAGAGACTTCCAACCTGGCTTAGCCTGACTTGTTGTATGAATTGTACTGACTGTGCCTCCATGGAAAAGTACTGGGAGACCCTCAATCCTCAAAATGGCAAATAAGCAAGGCCAAATGGCCCAACGTAAGAATAGGGCTTGTGGTGAATGCCCAACATCTGGTCATAAGTGGTCAGAATGAGCTTTGGCAGGATCTGGGCCTCCCTGAATCAGGTGATTAATCATTGTTCCTATATGTCAGTTGCCACTGGTACACATTTTTGGTCCTTTGTAACCCTCTGGGTGGGACTGAGATCTGCCAGGACCTAAGTGTCTGTCCTGTCCCAGGGAGGTGACTTTACCATGGCCTTTGCCAGCTTAGCACCCGCAGCCCCATCGTCTCCATGCTGTTCAGTGAGCAGAACAGTTGAGGGGAGACTCATGATGCATGTGTGGAGGTTTCTCTGCAGGTCAAACTGCAGTGTTGGGTGCCCTGTTTTTCTCCAAGCAGCAGACCAGGTATTATGCTTTGTATCTAAGTGTCTTATGAGTTTGAAAGTTGAGTGGTTTGTGTGGACCCTGTACTCATCAGTGGATTCCTTCATTGGTGACGTCAGTATCTGGATGTGCTGTGCGGATGTAAAGATGTAATGGAGATGGGCCCTAGAGGCAAGGCCTGGAAAAGCGTGTTCTTTGCAGCTCCTCCCATCTTCGCCTCCTTCCAGGCTGCATGGTTTGAAGATCTTTTCCTCCGCTGTGTCACTTTGTCATCGTGTTTCTGCCTTGGATCCAGCAGACCATGAACTGAAATTGATCCCATGTAAACTCTAAGTTGTAGGGGTTTGATATGTTATCTCAGTAACAGGAATGTGGCTAAGCCACCTAATTATGCTAAATTTCTGAAAAGTTTAGATACAGGGTCTCAAGTACTCAAGTTATATCTTCCACTCTGGATTTGATTGTGATGACAGTAAACTCCAAAATTTCCAAACACTTTTCCATAATGCCAGAGTTACTATAGGGTCTTCACAAATGATGTAAAAAGTGGAAGAAGTGTTTAGCATTGCCTGTGATGAGGCTCAGTGTTAGGGACCTGGCCAAACCTGCTTCAACTACTATGTTATAGCCAGAGCAATGAAATAAGTAAGTAAATAAATAAATCTTGAGATTTAGAATGCCAAAAAATGGACAGGAAGTTATCATTGTAAAGAAAAGATAAAAGTGTTACTATAAAGAACAATTTCCAGAAAGGGCTGACTGTTAAACCCAAACTTGGAATCTCCTTGAAGTAGGGCATCCATAGGTGATAGGTGATATGTGAATGGGTAAAAATATCCCAAAGTGATATTGTTTTAAAAATGGAATGCCAACCAACTGTGGTGTCACATACCTATAATCCCATCACTTGCAGAAGCTAAGGCAGGAGGATTGTTGGGAGTTCAGGTTCAACCTAGTCTACATAGTTCAAAACCAGTCTGAACTACAAAGTGAGGCCCTGTCTTAGAACAAATGACATGCTGAATGAGGTAGGACAATGAGTAAAAGCAATATTGCAGCAGGGGAAAAGCACCAATTGTCAGTCTGCACTCATGTCAATAATTAGGCAGACAATGGTGTCCTGTGCAGGTAGAATAGAGACAATGTAGGAAAGTGGGTTGTTGGTGGGTGGCAAAATCAGCTCCTGAGCCAGTGGTTTTCCCTGAAAATGTTTTTAGTGAAAAGGATAGCCTCTATGCTGGCTCAGTTTGAATGTGGCTCAAAATTTTAGGCTTCAAAGAAAGAGAAATTTACATAAAGTTATATGTAAGTAATCTTTTGTTACTGCTAATTTCACCTAATCATTTTTGAGGCATAATTGGAAATTTTTATCTCTCCGTTGTTAGCTTAAAAATTGGTTGTGCAACATTATCTAGGTGTAATGGGGAAGGTATTACACAGGAATAAAGATGATTATAAGGTATTTTTTGTAGTAGTAGGGATTTGGCCCAGGACTTTCACTCTACAGGACATCCAGGCCTTTTACATTTTTAGTTATCATTATTTTAAATTCGACACTAGTTCTCCCTACCTTGACCTTGAAGCTTTTATCCTATTGCCTCAGCCTCCCAAAGTGATATCACAAGCGTGGATCACCAAACACAACTCTATACCATGATCACAGTGCTTGGTTAAATTAAACATCATCACCAGGTATGGTGGAGCGTGCCTATAATCCCAGCACTCAGAAGGCTGAGGTAGGAGGATCACTGTGAGTTTGAGACCAGCCTGGGCTACAAAGTGAGTTCAAGGCCAGCCTGAACTGCATAATGAAACCCTGTCTCGAAAAGGGGGAAAAAATTAATCATCAGTTATTGTTTATATGTCAAAAATGTGACTTTCTTCCATTGTGGAAGTGTGGGTACCATTCTGAAAGACATCCTTGGAACTTTCTTCCCCTAGAAAAGTGTCTGTGAATTTGAGGTTAGTTGTGTGTACTGTAAATTTTTTTAAATGGAGGAGAGAATCTAGGATTATCATAATTTTTCAAACAGTAAAAGTGTCCATCCCTTTTTATCTAAGGCTTCTATAAAATATAAGTTGCTTAAGGACTCAGAAATTTATTTTCATGATTTAACCATAAGATTATGATTTTCCTAGTTAAAAATGGAGTGGAGAATTGATTACATCTGATTAAGTAAAGAAAATTTTGGAAGTGATTTTGTTGTTTTGAAACCAAGGTCTCACTGTGCAGTTCAGGCTGGTCCTCAGCTCACTATGTACCCAGACTGATAGAAATTAATGTGTGGTAATTTAGTATTTAAATATTTTGCAGTACATTTTTATTTTCAAAATTCTTGGTAAGATTTAATAATAATAAGTGTAAATACAGTGGACCCCAGAAATTCATGAGGGTTACATTCCTAGAGCACACACATATTGTGAAAAATAACAAATTTCAGACATGGACAGAAAAATGCCTCTAAATGGCTCTTCTTATGGTTTAAAACTGAAATACACAATCTCTCCTGCAATTATGTAATTTAATTTAATTTAATAAAATACTGTATGAATAAAGCCTTAGACGATGCAAGGTATTTTGGCAGAATTTTAGGCATCTTAGGGCTTTAAGAAGAACAAAACCTCATAAGATAGCTGAGGGAAGGGCAGCTGAGAACTTTCTTCAGGAGCTCATCCTTCTAGTCACAGACTCCATATTCTATGCTAGAAAACATGTATTTTAAAATGGAAGGAAAGAAAACAGAAAAGAAGACATTCCTCCACACCCTTCAACTTTAAATGTGTGGTATTTAAAAAATCAGAACAGCAAATTCAACCCAGTGCAGAAACTGTTTGTGGGCACTTGCTGACACAATAGTGGAAGGAGCTTCAGAGCCTCCTCTGGGTGCTCACCTTCTGGCTACTTGCATAGGATCTCTTACTTTCCTCTGAGAGAGCCCAGAGGGAACATTGACTCATGAGCTGTGACAGTGTGTTTTTATACTTGGCAGTGGTGAATTATTTTATAGTCATTAAAATATCTATTTAAAAAATAGTTATATATTTAATAATGAAAGAAACTCCAAGCCCCCCAAAAAAGAAGCAAAACCAAGAACAATGGAGACAGCTACATGCAGTACAGCACCGTGTTATGATGTGGGAATGCTGGTGCATCTGCTAGAGATGGGTTACAGGGCAGCGGCCAGTCATCAGCAAGGAGAACTGGGTAATGCTCTCAGACCTGCTACTTGCAAACCTTCTGCAAAAAACAATTATGGAGGAAAATTGCAGGGGTTTCTGTGCACAATATTTACGTTCTAAGGAAAAATCTGTGAATGACTGAGGACATGAACTCCAACTTGTGACTTTGTGCAGTTGTACTGTATCCTTAGGCCTTGGGCAACAGATGAGAGTATCCAGGTGATTGAAAGCCTACCTAACTCAAACCTCTCTTGCCCCATGGATGACCACTCTCCCATTTTGATGACTCTTCCTAAGTTCACCATGTATGATTTTCTAGGAACAATGTTCTTTTTGTTTCCTTCCTTGGAATTTTCAATAAATGCTTATTCTAGAAATTACCAACAGAAATATTTCCATGCTTTGTTTTGTTGTTGTTGTTGTTGTTTTCCTTCAAGAAATATATGTTTGATCACTTAGGAGGAAATGACCTTTGAGGATGTGGCTGTGAACTTTACCATGGAGGAGTGGGCTTTGCTTAATCCATCCCAAAAGAAGCTCTACAGACATGTCATGAGGGAAACTTTTAGGAACATGGCTGCTATAGGTAAAGGATGACATTACTTTCTCATGTATGCAATCAGAGGACATTGTTGTTCATCCGTGCAGTTTCATTAAATAGAACGTGAAAACATTTTGGAGAATATCTCAGACCTGGTTACATTATACCATGAGTCTAACTTGAATCTATTCATTTTTATGTACTAATACAGTATCTCCTTATATTTCTATGTCTGTAATTCAGGAAGAGTCTTGGATAACCAGGAAGTTGAAGAAGAGTACAAAAATTACTGGAGAAATCTAAGGTAATTTGTACTCAAAAGGAAAAAAGAATATACCTCAATTTCAGTGTACTAACAAATATCACAACCATGGCAGCATGGCCATGTTCAAATGTATTTAATCTCTACATTTAATCACATATATTCCAAGGATATATATAGTTTTAGTATGTATAATCTGACAACCGAATACAGAAATATTCCAACATAGGAAAGTGAGTACTGATCTCATGCAACAAGTGATAGTGTCTGATATATAAGTATAAAAATACTTCTTTCATGACACTATCTGATATATAAGTATAAAAACAGTTCTTTCATGATCTCCATCGTAAAAATGCATGAAATTGCATTTAGTGTTATGTATAGGTATATATGATATGAATTTTGAAGCCCTTCTTTAGAGCATCTATTTATGTATACATGTGACTATGACACATTCAGTATCTCAAGAAATTACTAACCTTGAAGCAGTATTCAAAGCACACATGAATGTTAGTGTTGTAATAAGTCTTTTCTGATTTTTTTTTTTTTTGCTTAAAATAGATTATTATTAGTTTGGATCAGTTGAAATTCAATCTGTTGATTTTACATGATGTATAAAGATTTTAAGGCATTCTTCCACCAAAATTCACTGATTAAATTTTCAGTCCTGCTACATAACCTGATTAAAATATTACTGATAGTGAATATTCATAGTGAAAGTCTGAAACTGTTTTGCTTTATTATGGCATGCAGCCATACCATATGATAACAAAAGGGATCTTATTAAACACAAATATTGTTGTTATATATTTGTTCCTTTGTAACCCAGATGGAAATCACTCCAAATATACAGCAAACAGATTATATATGAAGACTACACCTTTGACACAGGAATATTTCTTTTTTATTTTTTATTTTAAAAATAAAAGAAGGAAAACATTAACAGACAGATAACCTTTTACAAAATAGCAAAAGAACAGT